AAATACAGAGACGCAAAGGAACAATTCCAACAAACGATCATATTTAGAATTTTCAATAAAGAATTGGATTTGCCAATATTAGGAGTCCAAGTAGTTCCGCATATGATTTGGTCATCTTTGTGCAGCACGATTTGCACCTACTTTCGAAACGCACTGGTATTTATAGGCTCATGAAGTAATCTTACGGAATCCGATCCTTCGGCAGAGTTGGGAACTTTCACATGATGATGTTGAGTTGACTAAAAAACTAGGTAAGTAACTGCCTAACACTTGAACGAAGGAGAGTAAACGTAAACTACTTTATTCAGTTGTAGGAAGTTCAAAAATCTGATAGTCGAAAAAACTATTTATAGCAATTGGTCAAGAATATAGACAACTAGGATGAAGAACTTCCCGTGACAAAGCCTTTGTCGTTGCTCATTCTCCAGTGAAATGCTACAGCGCTTTCGACTCCTAGTCCATCGCAGCGATTTCTGTACCCCTCGAGTTCCGGGAGTGGTATGAAAGTTATGGGGTGCCTAGAGTATCCATTCAGTATTTGGTCTCTTGTCCATTTGCGAAGCGACAGCATTCAGTTTCGCTGAATCACCTCCGCTTCATATGACAGCGAAAACAAAACGCGATTTCTCCGTGATCCTATGGCAATAGAGAAGTAGTAGTTAAAGATAAATAACTTTGCTATTTCTCCTTCAGTCTTTCCAGAGAGTGCCTGAAATCAAATGCAGTGCCTTACTCTCATGCAAACAGATGTTAGAAATCAGTGTGTCATAAGATGGTCTTTCAAAAACATGCAGATTACCTTAACCTACTTCAATAGTGCACTTGTGAGAAACTAAAGAGGTGCTATGTCCTCACGACAGTGAAATATCGCTCATTGACAACATAACTGCTGGTAGGGCACATTCTACGTGTCTGAAGGGGAGCTTTAATTTCGTTGAAAAATGCTGAATGGAACATCCTTTTGCAGGGGAAGGCGCGTTCGGAGAAGTTCATGCGGGAAAATTAAAGTTGAAATCTGGAGGCAAGGCCCTTGTGGCAATAAAACTGGTAAGCAAGAATCTTCTAGAAAAGCGATGAACAAACGTACTTGCCTTTCAAATATTTCGAATGCCCCAATAACCATTGCTCTTAACACACAAATGTGTTTCAAAGTTTATAAGCTCTATTACGGTGCAAATAAAAGGAAGTGAATAATGAGTATATACAAATAGAGGAACGAACACCTAAGAAAATATTATGATAAAGCAATAATATAGAAAAACAACGAGGTGTTCACGTACCCTTCCCGAGCTTACTCGAATGCCATCCGAAGGTCCAATTCCTGCTACACCTTGTTACCCATCCTCCATTCCCTGATAGCTGCGAATCACACTCACTTCATGTGCAGAGCAGATTGGCTGCGAGGGTATAAGTGTGAAGCAGTCAAATGGAAGCGGAAGAGTTGCAACGAAAAGCAATGAGGGGATCGCTTCATAAAGATGCAATCAGCGATGGTGACGAAAACCGACGAATGAAGGAGACGGCGTAGACGACTGAACGTTAGAGGCACCAGTGTCATCGGCTAATCATTGCCACCTGGCGGCCTTGAACCTGCCAACCACGGTGCCTTCCAATCAGGACTCCGGCGTGCGCTTAGCCAGCGTTTCTTGATGGCGACCATACATATACCATACATACAAACGCACCGTGGGAATTCGTCTTCGTTAGATTTGGGTGAACTTGCTAATAGACTTGGAGTAATATTTATAACAATTATTCCATGCTCTAGGCAAAGCTAGAAGTCCTCACAAAAGAGCAAATCAAAGAAATTATGCATGAAGCACGCCTCATGAGACATTTTGATCATCCAAATGTTGTCAAATTCTATGGAGTGGCTGCCGGTCAAGAACCCCTCATGGTTATCATGGAACTGGTGAGCTCTTTGACAGTGCTGTAAACGTAGGAATATGTGCGGCTTGTGCAGCTCCCACGATACTGAAATTCAAAATTTCCAGCCAGCCAGCTCATTCTATGCGGAAACATTTGGTCACATTTTAGGCAAACTGTGGAGCTCTGGACTCTTTTCTTCAAAAAGCGGAGCAACCAATGGATAGGAAAAACGAGATGTGCTTGCAGGTAGGTTTCGGAAGCATTCCTTTCTGTAAACAAAACATTGGCCTATTTAAGGCAGCTTGGGGGTTGGAATACTTACATGCAAAAAACGTCCTTCACAGGGATATCGCTGCCAGGAACTGTTTGTATGGTGATAATAAGGCAAGTGATACTAGAGAAAGCAAAGAAAGGGATAATTCGAGCACATTTGTCCAGCTGAGCACTTGTAGGTAAAAATCTCCGATTTCGGTCTAACTCGTGAAGGTACAGTATATCAAATGGATCCACACAAAAGGGTCCCTATCAGATGGCTCGCACCAGAAACATTGAAGATGGCTATTTACACGCAGAAAACCGACGTCTTCAGCTACGGTGAAGTTCCCTTTTATTTTTCTGAACATTTAAACATACTTACTCGCATAATGATTTGCTTGCAGGAATTATGTGTTGGGAGATATACAATAACGGTATAGAACCATATCCTGGAATGACTGTAGCAGAGGTCAATCAAAATGTAAGTCTAGAAGCGATATTTGAATGCTGGCCGCTTCAAGAAACATTAAAAACCTGTTTTTCTCAAGGAGTAAGCAGGAAAAAGAGAATCTGATATTCAGGTGAAAGAAGGCTACCGCATGGAGTTGCCTCCTAATGTTCATCCTGATATACAAACTTATGTGAAGGTAACAACCACCGATATCGGCCTTACATTGTAGGATCATTTACCAAAACAAGGCAGAAATTGCAACTGACGGGTTCTTTAGAACAGCATTTACAACAGTGAGATAAAGAAGCACGATACAATCGGGAAACTCCTCAAATATCGCGTACTTCGTTAAGCGGGTCCGTCGGAGGTTACGCCGCGACCGTCGCACGCGGCGCTTTTGAAAGGCGTCGTACCTATGCCCTA